CACGGATGTGGCGCTGAACAACTTGGTGGTTCGTGCAAGGACTGCAGCACAAACTTCAAAAGCGTGCAGCTGATGTTTTTGCTGCAGGAGCTTGAAAGGCAATCCGGCATCTTCCAAGAAGTCAAAGGGTGTAAAGCCGCCAAGTGGCAAGGGTAAGGCCACCAAGCCCCGCAAGAACGGCGGTGCTTAGGCCACTGCCGGTATTTTTGGCAGGGCGTCCAACTGAATGGAAGTTGGATTGACAGTTGACATCTTTTGACAAGATGTTCCGCATTTAGGTGGGTGTACTGGGTTTGTTGCATAGGCAGCCGGGTGTTGCTTCAGTTCAATAAACCATACCTATATTCAGCTTTATTCCTGAAATGTTTTTTCTATGTTGTGGCTTTATCATACATGACACTGTAGCGGCTGCCTGGAGCAACGTTGAAATCAGGGGTTCCAAGCTGACATCATCCAGCAATGAACGCAAACTATGGTGAAAAATGATCTTCATGACGGAGTCAACACAGGCTTCAACACTTATGGGCAACACAATGAACCAACTTATACATACATATGTGAGCTCTGCAAAATACGTATGATTAAACCCCTATGTCGCATAACGTTCTTACGCTCCTGCTTACGCCTTTCTTACGCGACCACGATGTGAGCTTACGCGCCACGGATGTTGAAGAAGACCTTACGCAAATCTTACGCATCTGCATTTTCACAGATGAGAACCATACTCCCAAGGGAAATGCTTACGCGAAGGCTCCTGTTTGCAGGTGAGCGGGCGACAAACACATGATCACTAAGACTCGGAAGCAAAGGAAGCAAAGGATCACTAGCATCTACTTACTGGCTGCTGCAGGCAAATGAAAAGTTGGCTTACGCGGAGCTTACGCGAACCTTACGCCACCAAACCCTCACCAAACGGAGCCTGGCATGTTATGACATGTTATGATGGGGCTGACTTGAGAAAGGTTTGATACAGAGTTGCAAACACAAACAAGCACAGTGCACACACCTGAAACACAGTGCACACAAATGTCAGTTCCCAAGGGTTTCAAAGCTCTCATGGTCCATACAGTTCCTCTCTTGACAAGTGTGTGCTAAGAATCTACGAATGAAAACACAACCATATGGCAAGCTTACGCAACATGCATGTCTCACAACTCCCTTACGCAACCTTACGCTCTTCAGGTTTTTGCTTACGCCCAAGTTCCATATGACAAGGCCTTTACTTGGTTCATCTTGGGAGGTTTCTTGCGGTGCTCATGTGGAAAACCACCCCCTGCGCAGGTGTCTCCAGAGATGGGCTCTTTACTTCCAGAGTGAATGGTAAAGGCCCGGTCAAACCATGCCCGGTATCCCCCGACCTCCTCGCAATTCCGGGCAAGGCTTCACCATTGATGAGGACGCGGACCTGGCTGATGAACTTTTGGCTGGCTTCGAAGAGGGTGTGGCTTGGCTATAGCTTAGTGGCTTGGTGCCTGTCACATGTTTAGAATTTGTAGCTTTGCATTCAGTCATTCGCACTTTGTCAGTGGGTTGGTCCATTCGTCCCAGGCAGAATCAGCATCCAGAGTTGTTCGATTAGCCACAGTTGCCAACAACAGACTCAAGAAGCATGGTCCCTTGGCAAAATCAACAAACACGATCATTGGTTGCATCTGTTGTATTCTCAAAGTACTGAACCGAACCGAGCCTTTTGTAATTGCGAGTTGTTGTTCAGCCTCCCCTCTCCTAGGTTTGTCAGACCCTCTACTATCGAAAATGGCGAGATGTGGGAAATCGAAACTGGATTCGCACATATGCAGGAACTTGCACACCACTGTTCGCAAGTTCTCCAAGGCCATGCCGGTTAATTTGTCCAGTGTCAGAACATCGATGCGACTTTCGAGAAAGAGGCCCCAGGAAGTCCCAGTACAACATCCGGTGCTCCATTTGTCAGACTGGGTAGAATGTATCTTCAATCGAGGAGGCCATTTTTTCCTAGGAGGCCAAAGTCTGGATCATGCTGAACAATTTCGAGAAGTTTTGGTTGACTATTGGGAGAAGTACCATGCTATAGACCCTGGCTTCAATGTCCCTCGTTCACAATGGAATGAAGCTATTCCAATAGCCCTTCACGGAGATGAAGGAAGGGGTCGGCAGAAATTGCCGGTGATGGTCATGGCGGCCCAAACTATCATACCTCTGTTTGCCAACAACTCCAACATGGCTGGGACATTCAGCTTTGCATATAGCACTCTTTACAAGTTGTTCAATGAATAGGGAACCCAAAGCCACCCCGAGATACCCCATATGAAACACCTCTCTCTCAAACCAAGGCCATCACCTTGCTCGCGTTTGCTGTACACGATCATCCCATCACCCTACACTCCTCGCACCTTGAGGGATCTTCTGCGAGCTTGGGTGGACGACCTGAACAAATTGGCGACGGATGGGATCACTGTAGTTGGGCGGAGAAAGAGTTGCTACTTTCTGTGTGTTTTGGATTGTTTCGGTAATAACACCTCTGCAGTGAACCCTTATAGTTACATACATTGATCAGCCAAAATCACAGGTACTGTGGAAAGGGAGGGTCCACAAATTCCGGCTCATAGTCAATGCCATCAAGGGGGACTGGCCATTCCTTCGTTCATCTTGCGGGCTGGCAAACGGATTCAACTGCAAGGACAAGTGCCACCGATGCGTGCTAGCGGAACTTTGGTTCGCATGTGTCATGCAGGCTTTGCCTTTCATAACTTTTGGGAAACCTTTGCACACTAGAATGCAACCTAGGGTTCAAACAGCCGACCATGTTGATCAGCTAAGAACTGGTGGGACCTGAAGGGGTCCTTCAAGCGACTCCGGCCTGAAGACGTGAACCCGGAGCCATACAAGCGAGACCATCGGTCTCCGTTGCGTGATTTGTTATTTTTGAGGGGCGATGCCAAGTACATAAGAATCGATCCTGCTCACACATTTGCCATCGACGGCGTTGGCAAAAGTTACTATGCCAGCGCAGTGGTACTTCTCATGATGATGGGTTGGTTTGGTGGGAGCAATCACGATGAACGATTCAAAAATGCTTATTCCCGCTTCATGGCTTTTTGCGCTGCCCACGGAAAGAGTACTTCGATTCATGACTTTAGCTTCAAGACGTTCAAACTTCCAGTTGGCTCGCTTCTAGGTGGCAGCATGACCCAACCTCTTGGGGAAAAACACTAGAAGTTTGGTTAGTACTTGGTAACCCAAATGTTTAAGGAAAAACCTCAATCAATACCAGCTGGGACGTACTAAGGCTACGTGCGTACCCTCGCGGTCTTGGCAAAGGACATGACGCAGCAATCTTGGGATCCTGGCTGGACCAGGAGCTCCAGCAGATCGATGTGGCCTTGGTGGCCACTTGCATGGTATTCATGTGCATTCGCATTTGACCTGTGAACATGTCCCCCAAATACCAATATCGAATCGGAAAGTCATGTTGCATGATCTCCTGCTTGAACTCTGATAAATATATGTTCCCATATCTTTCCACTCCAGGCTCCAGAATTTCGAGACATGATTGCAGTTCTGAAATGGAGCTGTGCAGCAATCAACAGATTCTGGAGAGCCATTTATGGGAACGGCATTTGGCTGCACCGGACCGTGGCAGCACAAATTGTGCAAGATGGCTGGGCTTGGATCGAAACTTTGACCCTGTGAGTCACATGTTTGGTTGCAAAGGTTTGGGGACTCACTTGTGGAATCACAGCCGGCTTGATTCTTTTCCTTGATGTAAGGATGGATACTGTACTCTTGCAGCCCTGACATCAAAAGCTGGGATCTTGGGGTTCCAACTTCGACCTAAGCTACACATGATGGGTCATTTACTGTGTCTTGACTGTTTTCATGTCCAAGAGTTTTCGACTGATGGATCTATTGTTTCTCCCCTGGGTCAGCTGGAAAACGCTAAAGCAGTGTGGTCTCACTCATCTAATTGAGGCTCAATTTGCAGTACGACATGGCCAAGGGTGCAGAGTATCTGATCAATGCATCAGTACATTCAACTTGGACCGATGAAGACTTCATCGGTCGCATTTCGCGAATATCCCGTAGAACTCATGTGCTGTCTGCAGCTCGAAACACGCTGCTAAGGGCATTGGGATTTTACAGACGCCAGTTTGGGAACTTTTTTGACCCTGCGTACTTGCACAACTCAGACTCTTAGGGCCGGGCTGGGAAAACGATGAAGTCGTTCGAGTGTGTTGCGCATCAGCTGTGCGTTGCAGCGGTCCGAGGGGGTGAGGTATACACCTATAGGATCACCAAATATCACCAAGATCTCTTGGATAAGATTCAATTCGTCAACTTTTTTTGGATTCGAGTGTTTTTTTCCAGTTCGTCATGATTTGAGGAGATCGTCAAGAAAATATCTCGTACCAGAAATTTAGCATACAATTGGTCCTCTAGGTGACTATGTAAAATTCAGCTTCCTCTGGATGAAACATCCAGTTAATGGCGCTACGCCCAACAGTAGCCAGCTTGGTGTTTTCAATACTTTTCAGGGGTTTTGAGGTGCGAACCACCCGGGGTCTCCCAGGGTCTTAGGCATCTAATGGAATCAACAACTTCTACCAAACGTAGCTTTCGGGTCTATCCCAATGAAACGGTTGTTCCCCAACTTCTGTTTCGATAAGGAAACACTCCCAAGTCGGAACCGCTCAGAACATCCTCCAGAATCCTCCAGACTTCTCTAAGAGATTTCTTCATTGAGGCCAAGTGGCTCACACCTTTCTTCTGAAGAACGCCGTCACAAACGGCACGTCGCACAGGTCTTGGTAGGGTTGATACGGGCATGGCACAGGTGCGGTACAAGTAAACCATGTACTTCATGCACCACGCCCCACGCACGGAAGCTGCATCATGCTGCATCAACTGATGCCCCTCATTCCAGAGACTAAACCATTGATTCATTGATCTTGAACCCGGTGGCATTGGGCCGTTCCTCTGAGGCATCTGCACAGGGGTATTGGATTTTGTCAGTTTTTCATCTAGTCGAGCATCTCCGTGCAACCGTCATTGAGGAGGATGGGCAAGATTCGCTCCACAGTGTAGAACGATGGTGACAACATGAAAATCACCCAACCTGCGAGGACTGCAGCGCGACCGCGATGGTCGGGTCTTGACGTTTTGCAGTAACAAAATAGAACAATTGTATATGTGATCTATATATATGGCATATGGATATACAAACACTATATAAGAGTGAACAAAAGATCTAAATGTTTTCTGATGTTTTCTGCGCGGAAACAACGGAAACTGACTGCGCCTACCCCGCGTAAGGCTGCATGAACATCTCCAAAAGCGATTAAGTCCTTGGAGTGCTAACGTGACCACGAGGCCCTCAAATGACTCCAGCGATTGTGTCGTGAACACCTTCAATCTTCAAGATGAGCAACAAGGACTCCTATCAAAGCACCCGTTCCTTTAGGATTTAGGATTGCTAAACGGCAAGTTCAGGATCCGGCTGGTGCACTGGCTGACACAACCTGTGACTGAGCAGCACAATCCCACTCTTCTTCTGCATTGGGTTGTATGACATGACATCGGCGTCCAGTCTCGGGACTTGCCCTTTCCAAATCAAGAACGTTCCCTACAAAAGAGTTGCTTTTGGAGGCCGATTGGGGTACCTTTGAATCCCTAACTTCAACGCCAATGGCCGAAGCCCGCCCGCATTAGTTTCACTGGGCAGGGCTCAAATCCCGCATGGTCACCAAATGGGTCCCATTGTTTCTCATCTATCTCCAAAGCTCTGCACTAACTGCACAAAGCTCCGGGTATTAGGGAATATGTGACCTGTGGCTCTCAGTCTTGTAATGCAAAGGTGAATATCTTCACAGCATGGCCCTGTCACAAGAAGTGGCTAAAGCTGACCAATAACGCAAGGAACATGAAGGAACCTTGCCAATCCGCCCAGCTGCCACGCCAGAACACAGCTGTGCCACCACTAGCAGAAGCCTGAGCTTGGCCAAAGTGTCTGAAGCAGCTTGCTCCAAAGCGTTACCCATGATAAACGAGGAGGACTTCTCTCAGAAGCCAAGGCCCAGCATCCAACGACCATTCCCTGTAAAGCCAAGCCGCATGATTGTGACGGTGGCAGTGCTCTGGCTCGGCAGATTCACGGACAAGAAGAAGGATATACCTCACTAAAGCTAAGTCACTGAGTGTCGGGATATAGGGGCTCAAAAGCCAGACTCCAGAAAAGCACATGGTCAACTCGTGGAAACACCCCGATTTTTGGGAGGTTTGGGTAGGCAAAGGCATGCGCCACGGCCAAAATTGTTTACATGGCCTCTTCTAGCAATTTAGTGAGCCGTCTATTGTTTTGCAGTGGTTGCGCGTTGTTCCTAGTATGTCACCGTAAAAGAGCTCCTGGGCAATCACTTCGGGCCTATATATAACTGGGGGAGCCGTTTCCCGAGGCATCGAATCATCCAGGCAATTTTAGGTTATCGTATGTTATCGTGCTAAGCACGCTCACACACGGCCACAATTCAAGAAGTATGGCAACTCAACTTGCAAACGGGTTATGGCTTTTTGGTGGGTCCTCTAACGTTCTACAGACTTTGGAGCACTTCCACTTCAATCCATGGGACATCCAAAAGAAGCTGCCTTTACAAAAATGTTGAGTCACGTGTCACCAAGGCACCAAAGGCTAGGTAGCATTGAGCCACCGCCAAACGCAGCAACACCCAGGGCGTAGCCGCCACGTGGGAGAACGGGCCATAAATACCTCCATAGGGCGAGGGTCGATAGCTCCACCCCTGGGGACGCAAAGGATGCCCAAGGAGGCCATGTGCTTTGGCCCCCAAAAAACTGAGCCGCACCCGGCAAGTGACACGAGAGGAATGTGAGTGGAAATTTCAAGTCCTTTAGAAAATTGTTGGTATACAGCACTTTGAAAAGACAAAAGAACATTGCTTTCTCCTCGAGATCCATCAGAGCTGGCACACCAAACACGCACACCCGTAGCCTGTCCAAAGCACGGCAAAGAGAAGAACTTCGATAAAGTGGCCTCACATCGCCAACGGAAGTCCTAAAAAAACACAGAGTGTATTTGGGTGCATTCTTGAGTCGGATCTACTACTCTAGATTTAAACATGTTGGATACTTCCCATAAACTGATGATTCTGTCAACAGGTGCTGGCATTTCGTATGGCCAGGAATGTCTGGGCCCTAAAGCCGTTGTTTCAGTCTCAGTGTGCAACTCATAGAATGCCTTCCCCTCCAACACAAAAAGTCCCCCGCAATTTCATTGAACCAAAGGCTGGGGTGGCAAGAAACCACTATCCATCTGTTTCTGCCACAGGGCAGTCCTTTTCCATTCTTCTTGCCTCCTTCGAGTCTAAAGAGACATTGCTGCAAGAAGTTTCAGACCAAGGTGCAGAAGTCCTTGGCCATGTACTGCGACAAGGTCGGTATGCCGGCGGTGTCCTGCAAAGATCAAAACACGCCTCCGGGCCTCTAGATCCTAAAAACAGATTCCACCTAGACCTGGATCTCCAAACACATCAAAAAAGCAAACATCAGTAGCTAAAGCGTATTGACATCTGAAACACAATCTCTAAACATCAAGTGCTTCACAATCATCATTTCATTGTACTGTTGCATGCCGATTCGGGAGGAATGCCCCTGACCCCTTGATTGCCAAAACAAAGGGTTTTGCCTCGGGTGCGCCATCGCGGCTCTGCACGCCAACCCCCACTCAAGGTGAACACCGTAAGATTGCCGTCCTCACGCTGTCTTTCTAGACGATCACTACTGAAGACATACATGCCTCAGATCACGTGCGCGATACATGCAGGACTTTTTTGATCACCGAGGTCAAAAAGTCTGCAAAATAATAAATATTATCAGATGTAAAACAGGGCAGGGATAAATGATACTAAACATATAGATCACCCATGATAAGTAGTAACTCTTCAAGTCAGCAACATCAGCACCTCTGTGAGAACACCAAAGCCTTCCCTCAAACAGCTCGGAACCTAAAGCAACAAACACATAAAGAAGCTCCTCAATCACGGGCCGATGCAAACAAATTAAACATACAAAAGGTGCTGCCAAAGACATGAATATATGAACGCCACGATCATATATGTTTTTGTGTCTTACCAAGGTGCTGTGGATGCAAACGGGCAGCATGAGCATGGACTGTGCGATGCCCAGCTTCACCAGAGTTTGTTCGAAGTCGCCTTCATCACCTGCAAATCCAGGAAGTTCACTTCAGATCAAACGTCGACACATTTTGCAAAGGAACACTTCAAGGTGCGTCTTGCATTGAAGTGTGCACAGGAATGAGTCCGAATGCACCCTGCTAGCCCAACAACTTAATAAAACACCAACAGAACAGCAAGAATCAAGAAGACTTCCAGCCAAACATAAACAAACAGCCCTTGTGACCCTCAAACCGGATTGGGACCCAACAAACAGCCCCGAGCCATGCCGAATTCGCCGAGTGGCCCAGCAAAAGCCTTACAACGGCCAAGAAGAGTGCTACCAAGCCCAGATTGGTCACACGGTGCTTCCACAAGCGGACCACTTGCAAGCAACATCGCCTCATCCAGCGATGAAGTCGCTGAGAAAGTGTCAAAAGGAACGCAGGGTCAGGTGACTACATACACTTTAGGTGTAAACCTAAACCATTGCAGAAAAATCTATGATATGTAATTCATGGACCTCTGATTCTGTGAGGTGTCACATCTGAACGAAAAGCCAGCAACTCACCAAGCACATCACATGAAGGTAAACACAAAGCATATCATAGCAGATCTCAGATTGGCATGTTGGTAGGCAGCCGTCAGAACAAGAGCCACTCGCAGTACCGTGCTGCGAGTCATCCATCCTCTGACCGATCGACTGAACCCTGGCTTCTCTTTTGCCCTCAGCAAGAGGCTTCTGAGTAAACACAGGCAAAAACTCGTACAAACATGTACAAACTACTATAGACTGGGGACTTGAGCCAAGAGTCTTGGAGGAGTCGGCACCTGGGATGACGGCCTATGTTCTGCCATCTTCTACTTATTAATTTTTAGCATGTCCCCCACCCATGGGCCGCTCATGTAGACTTACCGACCGTGGGGGGAATCCATCGCTGGGGGCCAAACGCCCACCATTCATGCGGAACAAGGCCAGGTGCACTAGGAGCTATATATCGCCAAAAATGCAAAAGGAATACTCTCAGCAACCCAAAGGCACGGCTTTTTCTGGCAAAGTCCAGTTTTTTTTTCACATGGCCCTCGGGTGGATCTGTCTTGCTTGACGGGTCTGAACCCCCGTCCCTCATCGACCAGTCGACCCAGTTGCAAAAAAGGTCCCCTGTTTTTCGATGACCTTCATGTTCCAATCAATCTGGGCACCCTTGTTTGACTCATGAAGGGGAACATAAGAAGGGGTTGAATATGGCGGAATCCACCGTTGTGAGTCCAAGCACCGCTGCTTGAGGCTGGGGCGGGTAGGCCTTTTACGTTCATCACTTAGCAGCTGAGGCGCAAGTACAAGGTCCAGAACGTCTCTGAGACGCCGGGCCGGAACTTCTCCTTGGATGTGAACAAGGTGCAAGTCACTGATGTGGGCAGGTGACTGATGAATTCAATCGATGTATTTGGATCTATTTGGGGGATTGCTGTAGGCTCTCAGCTGGACAATGACCTGCTCCAGATCGACTTTGCTACCCTCGCGGTAGGATCATGCAGCAGCCACCTGCCACTAATGTCACTAATCAATATGTCAACAAAACAGACGGAAATTGAATCGTTTGCAAAATCCAACATGCTAACTGAACATTCCACATAATGCCTGCCACCCAAAAAGTGCACAAAAAAACATCACATCCCAAAAGACACTTTTGCTGGAGGATTTCGTTCCACCATTCCAACTCCAATAAAAAGTGAGTGTGCATCACCTGCACTCGAGCAAGTCTCGTAAGATGCCAAAGGCGGTGCCTCCCTCTCACCCACGGAGTGAAAGGAATCCGAAATGGAACTCCCAATGGTCGTGGGCTCCTGAGATGATTCGCGGCTTGAAAAAGGGATTGCACCTCCCAGTTCATCCACTGATTCGTCGAAAAACGAATCAGAAAACAAAGGGTTCGTTCCCGGGGTGGGGAATATCCGGTTTGGTGTTTGAGGAGCCCTATGAATTTAGATCTAAATATATATAAAGATATTTACATTATTTTACATTTATATATAATATATATATATATAGAATATGTATCACACATCTTCATTCATGTTCCTCCACTCTTGGAAGGAACGTGTAGGCTTGGAAAGCAGGGGCAATCCTGGAAAGTAACGGCCTGGGAGGGAACAACCTGTGTGGTTTAAAGCCCTCAGACCCCTTGCATTGATTTGCTATGTTCCGAGAATGCCAGGCTTCATGTACAAAAGGTTGGGTTCTGACACTTCGGACTTGGACTTGAATCCGCAGGAGGGTATACACCTGGTAAGACGAGTGAGAAAACAGTGAAAAAAAATGGAACAGTTACAATGATCACCTTGAAATGCACCGATGTAGACTCTGCACAAGTCAACCTCCCAAAGGAACGGATTTTACAATTTCGATCTGGTGAGAGTTCTATTTATCCAAAGTCCACATGAATTGAACTGACTTTGAATTCATAGTAATACTCAATCCAACGTTATACTTTGGAATACTTTGTTAATCTTTGTTCTATGAATCCAATCACTCAAATGGAAGTTTGGTGGACCCCAAGGACTTCACAAGGTCAAGCAGCAGGAAGCGTCGATCGACCTCGGGGACTGGGCCACCCATGACCGCAGCAAGGAGGCGGATCTTTCTTTTGGGATCAAACTGGGTGCCCTTAATCTCATCACGTGAAAATTTCGAACCTCTTGACCAAACTGTTCCTTTTCATGGGAACCCAACCTGTCTGTGTCTTGCTGCCAACCCTTCTTCTTCCACTCTTCATCTCCCCCGATCGCGACCTCGGTTGCAGTTCGGTTCCACGAGATCGCGGCTCCACTCCTTGTTCGCCACCCATTGGGCCGCCAGCTCCTCAGCCGTGGTCGCAGGACCCTCTGCCGTGGAGCTGTCGATGAAGTCCAGGAAGAGATCCTGGTGGGACTGGAGAGTGTGCACCAAGCTTTCCGATCCTCCAGATGCACCACTGTCACTATAACAGAAACTTTGGACCTTGAAAGATGGAGGACTGCCCGGTATGAAAGGCAAACTTGACCTTTATGAACCTATTCGTAGACCGAAGAATCGTTTTTGTGTGCCTCATCGCCATCCACCATCAGGCCAAAAATCAAAGCATACACAGTATAGGATAGGATAATTGCCTAACATCCATTGGTGCCGGGATCTATGACTATGCTTGAACACGGGTCACCTATCTGACCTATCTCATCTCAAAAGGATCAACCAAAGTTAAAAGTAAAAACAACCTGTAGGACAATGTGTGAACCAATCACCAACATCTGATAACATCTGCCTATTCCCACTTTCCACCTGCAAGACTTGCAGTTCTCGGCCCCAAATCTCCGAGTCTCCGCAGGGTTTGACATGGCTGGGATCTCCACTTCTAGCACCTGGCCGTAACGCTCAAAAACCCAGAAACGAACGAAATTGCAGGTGGAGGCAGTCACCATTTTGCTTCACAACGACCATGGGACTTGATGGGGCACTCATGGTCACGTCATATGGTGGCACCATGACACACACGCACCCCATGTGGTCAAACCAAAAGGGGCCTACACGCGTATTACAACAACTTTGACTGGAAGTCACGTGGCCATGTCTCTGCTCACTGTGCATCTCAAAAAGCCAGCTCATTGGCAGCTGGCTTGACCACACACATCTGGCCGTCCCTGCTCTCGGAGCTCAAACCTATATGCAACGATGGGAAACGGGACTCCATTCACACAGGAAGCTTCTTGACATTTCTCAATTTTTGGCTCTCCCCTTTCACTGGGGATATTCACATGTCCTTCTGTCTCTTTCCGTGTTCTAACAACGACCGTCCGTGTTCGAAGAACTCTCGACCATGCTCACTGTGGTGGCCCACAACTTCCCAGCTGGATTAAGTAGGGGAACTGTTCACCAACATTGAAAACAACGGGTGGTCAAAAAACCACTTGCACACTGCACAAGCTGCGAACCCGAACCCCCGCATAGGAAAACAACAAAAACATATTATATAGATGAATCTTTTTAGCCTCAAAAGCTGCCAGGCCACGTGCCTGGGTGTCGTACCGCACGAAGCACCTACGTCCGGCCTCGGAGAAGTACTTCACACTCTCGCGGACGGGACCCGAATAGACCAGAAAGCCGCCGGTGGCCAAAAGCACCACCTGATCGAAGCACTCCTGGGATGCACCATGGAAGTACCGGCTGTTGGTGGCTGTTGGTGGGAGTGGACGTGTCAAAAAAAGACAAGCCACTAATTAGGTTTCTTCGTGCAAAGTCTGGGCTGAAAGGTGGCAAAGGTGGTCTCGTTCATTCCTCCAACCCCAAATCATAGGCTCTACACATAGAAAAATGTGCGTTCTAAGTGGGAACAAAATCCCAGAAAGTACGTCCACAAAATCATCGCCGTTTGAGGCGATGATCTAAGCAGGTCTTCACCCATGCCGCTGGCCGAGGTGCCAACGTTTGCCAACGAGGCTGATGAATCACTGCCACCTGACACCAACACGTTGAAGCGACCCGTTGAGGTCGTCCCCAGTCCCCGAAGAAAAACATAATTTGGACTCTTCGGGACTGTTTACTCGGTGGGGGAACAAAATACAAGCGAGAGTTCGACATTTGGATCAAGTAAGTAGAAGTTCACAAAGTTTGTTCTTTGGCAATACCTAATTGATGCTAATTTGATAAAATGCACATCTAACATCCATCTTCTACACATCTACAAACCAAAGACACCAGGAACGCTGTAAGCCCAACAGATTCATGGCAAACAAATGGGCTCAGCCAGTTACAAACCCTCCAAGCCTTGCAAGATCTTGCAAGAATCGTTCACAATCCATGCAGATCTGAGTTCCAATTGTCTTACAAGCCGCATCCCCTACAAAAGGGATACCACCAGTCACCAGCGCCCTGAAGTGGCCGACATACGCACAAGTCCAAATCTAGTAGCAAAAAGGCTTCACAACAAGGAACCCCTCTTCAAACAACCTGATGGACCAGTTGAACCCCTGAAGAACTGGTGTCCAGTTCCCTTTCTCCATGGGAATCCCTCCGAGCTTCGGTTTTCTCAGGCCAAGGGGCTGTGGTGCAGTGCAGCTGTGACTTACACAGCAGCTTCACGATCGAGTGTGCTGCAGCAGCGTCCTCACTGCCGCCAGGGGGGCCAGGGATCCAAGGGGCAAAGTGCTGCCCGCGCACATGCCACACATGCCAATGTGCATACAAACCAATACGGTGGTTTCAAAGGTTCGATGGCACAAACCCATGATGTCCAATCCATATAAACCACCGACATTGGGGGTCTGGTGCTATCTACTCTCAATCCACTATATATGTGCATACACACATGTCATTTGCACGTGTATGCCTGCAAATGCGTCCGTGCTCATCAGATGTGTGCTTCCTGGCCAGGGGGTGACTCAGTCCTACCCTTAAGAGACGGGGAATGCTGATCTGAGGTACTGTAGGATGCACCACTTGTGGCCCGATGTGCTTGGGGATCGTCAAGGTTTGCGAGGAAAACGTCAACAAGCCATCAACAGTTCTAGGGTTCATCTGAGAGGGACATCCAGTGTGACACCTGTCCAAGCAATAAACCATAGTCCTGCTTTCATGGCACCATTTCTCAGCATACATCTGATACCTTCCAGTCTTTTCATGTGTGATTCCTTCCAGTAATTGGAGAGACTGACAGCAGTTTTCTTGGGCATCCCCAAAGCTCCGAACTACCCGTCCAGCCCACAGTGCTTCCAGTTTCTAGCCCGCTGGTCGGCTCATCCAAGAAGAGCACTGATGGTTCACCCACCTCGCCGGGCCGAGGCTGATCAGCGGCATCAGTTGGGTGTGAAGACCAGTTTCGACCATTTGATCGTGAATTTGCTCAAAGCCGAACGAAACGATGACGAATCAAGACCATGTAATGTCGTATCTTGTATTGGAGAAAAAGGAAGAAAAAGCGAAGAACATCATGGACTTTTTTATGGTGTCTTCCATTAACATTAGCTAGCATCGTGCTAAGAAACTGTTACTCAGCTGTTAATGATTCGTGTGAAAGAAACACCATAAAGTCATAAAGCCAATAATACTGCATGAGATCATCAACAGAACTAATCTGCGGTAATATTGCTTTATGGATGAACTTCGTTGATAGATTCCATTTCTATGTCGCCAATTGAACGATATAAAATAGCGGGTCAATGCGTCAAACTGTTCATCCACCAGTTCAATTACACCCTTCGACCAAACCGCGGGAAAAAAACAATGCAAAAACACACGCTCCCATCTCCAGGATCGGGACGATTTGCTCTCTACGCCAGCCCCAGTGGAGCAGCCCGGTGTTTCTTGTCACGCTCCTCCACTTCTGATTGCTGAGCCCAGCGGCTAACTCCATGGCGATGGACGTGCGCTTCCGCTGCCCACCACTGATGCCGCGGACTTCCGCATTGCCTTGGGATGAAAGGTGGCGGTGACTTTAGCCGGCGACGCTGCCGGAGGGCGCAGTCCAAACACGCACAAATATGTCATATTATTGTAAAATACGCATGTATGATCATATATGTACATAGATAACGTCCATTGTAGAGTATGCATATATCATATATATATATATATGTCATGATATATCATATAGCCACATATACTTTTGCGTGTGGTGCATTCACGCCAACACCTTATTCGACCAACCGCCCTCAAACATGCTGAACATGGGGCAGCATAGTTCATGATCTACGGCGTACGGCTTGCGTGTGTCACTGACTGTCGCAAACTTCAGCTCCAGGCCTACCACACTGTCCTTCACATGCCAAATGCCAACATCTTTCCTTAGATTGGCATTTCCCGAGCAAGCACAAGCGCGCTTTTTCCTTGACAAATGTATACAAATGTCTTAGTGAACGCTCTTCCGTGCCAATCTTCCTCTAGATTCCCTAGCTTTGTGGATGTGTCCTTCCTCCAACCAACAAATCAACACAGATTCCTGCAATGCGAGTGTCAAAACAGTCTCCACTCGCGTGGCTGTCTCCAGAAGGCCCGTGTTAGGCGCTAGACGCAAGCGAGCGGAGAAGTAAACGTTCTCATAGACAGTCAGTTCCTGGGCCCGGCTCGCGTGGTCAACTCCAAGTTCTTGCAGAGCCAACAAGGGCCGGGTGCACCCGGCCAACTCCACTGGTAAAAGCCATGTTTGACCATGGCCCTGGTCAAAGCAGTAATATCGACATCAAGTTTGAGTGGTTGGTAGTCTTGATCCTTCCGTCCTTTTTGTTCTTCATCTTGCTTCCGTGCATGCACTGCATGTGTGAATATTATGAGGACATCATATGAAATCCATGAATGATGCCTCCTGGATGGTGTGCTTGACATAGGGGATGTTCACTGTGCCCTTTGTTCTGCAGCAAAGGCTCTGTATGCATCACATCGTCCTGGGGCACCTCAGACTGCACCGCATCCGAAATGACATATCCCCGACACTCCATGGGACTGCCATATATGCCGCCCTATTGACCCCCAAAACCACCCCAATGTAGGCATATAATTAGCATACATGGAGTGTCTGGGTATCACAAACGCCTACACACCCGGTGTTTTCAGGAGCACTGCCTCATCGAAGAGACTGGGTTGCCGATGATCATGAAACATGGGATTTTGGTTGGCCTCGAGTTTGATTGCGGGAGGGCCCGGGAGGGCAACTTTCCAGCTTACCAACTCTCTGGGACCTCAGCCTTGGTGAGACTCCACTAAACCAGCAGACCTTGAGCAGCTTCCGGATTCTTAGAAGATCCTGCCTTTCTTCAGAGCAACATCGATTTGCAAATGCATCGTGGATCCTTTGGCCTTTCTGGTCTTTCTGGTGGTCTTTTCATTGGCTCCTTTCGTGTCCTGAGATGTCGTTCGTTTGGGAGAACCAGTGGGAGAATGCTGAGCTCAAAGGTAGTGTTGCCCCTGTTGGAGACCTTGAAACTTCAGACCTTGGTGCTTTCGGGCATTATTATCATATAATTCATACATGTTTGCCTTCTTGAGGCCTCCAGTGACTCTAGTGGCCCCCGGCAGGCGCAGCGCTTTCCCTGCCATGGTCGAGGTCCATCGCAAAAAATGTTCCCGAACCATGCCACAACCCTCCAACAGGTTTCCCAAATGGAGGGTTTCACTTAACTCATTGGAGGGTGCTGGTAGGCATGTAGCTTGTGTGGACCAAAAGTGTCAAAGTCTGAGTAGACCATCAAGTGGCAGCCTAGCAGCGAATCCAGAAGCATTCTTTGTCTTCAGGTTGGATTCAATGCCCTCCGGGATGGATTCATTGTTCGCAAACATCTGCCCACACACATCTCCTGCGTGGCAAAGAATGTTGCAAATCAACTGCCTGGGACATCCCCTGGCAGTTTCGGAACATTGACGGAATCAAACAGAACAGAACCCTTTCATGATCTTTGATGCCAATGTCTTCGATCCAGCATCCTATGTTGATACATCTTCGGCATCCATTTTGCTCTTCCAAAAACGCTAAATTGTTCTTATTCCCGAGCACCCAAAATTAAACAAAGACAGAACGTGACCGGAGTTGATTATATATATATATTACATGTATATGATCAATTATACATCAAAGGGGGTGATGGGGGCGTATGCTTTCACGTGGGAGGGATGATCCCAGCTTCGCTGCCACACCTGGGGCACCCACATAGCGGGATCCTAAGATCCGTCCGCGACGTCGTCCATGGCCCAATGGCCGATGGAAAAGCTGCATGCCGAACGTGAAAGCACAGTCTTGCATCTCCCCCGAACCGCATGCGTTTCCGCCCTAACCACGGACCCACGGCCGCAGCTCGGTCCATAATGCAAAGCACGGCCAGTGAGCACATTCAGCAAGCTGCTCTTGCCGCTGCCCGATGGACCCATCAACGCGCAACTGCTGTCCTTCGCTCGGTCGACGCGAAGAAGCCCCAGAGGTCAGCGGCACTCACCCACCACGACCAAGCTCAACACTCCAAACAGGCCAGGGGTGACTTTCGAGATCATTGAATATAGGCATATGTTCCATACATGGAGCATTTGAGAAGGGAAAAAGGATAGTGGTGTTGACAGGACTGGTTCCATTTCCTTTTGGATATGACTGTTTGATACTGTTTGGGTGGTGACCAGCAGCATCTGTTCAGTGTCACCCATGGATGACCCTGCACTACATCTCCATTTGGCAACAGGACGGTCCAGGTGTGTTTTACACCGTGTTAGTCTTTTTTCACCGCGAAAGGTGACATTGGCCTGCCTTTGAGGTTCCAAACCACGCACTGCCCCTGTCGCTGATATCGCCCCACTAGCATCCTAATAAGGCCATATTGCTGGAAAATCATTGAATTTAAATTCAATTCCACCCGAAACGTTACAGGAACCAAACAAGGCAAAGCCTCCACGTTGTGATGGGCCAAAATTATAATTTGGGCGGGCACGTGTGCTGGTGGAAATCAAATGGTTTTGGAAACGCTGGAGCGCAAAACCTGCACACAATGCAGGAAGTGGGCAGATCTAGCGACTGCGATTCCTCTAACTGTCATATTCATTCATATTCATTATTTCACAATGAGTTCAGGCACAGCACAATTCAGATCACAGTGCAGTGCTGGAGAATGAATGACCGATCTCATCTCTGCCAAGGCTCTGCCGAAATCTCCAGAGAGATGTTCTTTAAGACCTGCCAGAGGAGCCAGGACAGCCCTTGGAGTTCTTCTTCCACTCGGGGATCTGTGAGAGAATTTCTTGGGAACACGCGGCTCATGAATGGAGCAGCGCATCCCAAAGACGTTGGAGCCATTTGTTCGCTGTCCGAGACGGTCCAAACGAACAGGTTAAATAACACATCCAATCCAACACGTATCAAGAAACTGCAGGGGTTGATGCAAATTCTTCCAACGAACCGAGAGAACCCACTGAACCGCTGGCCCAAAAGGGGGCAGAAATATCTGCGACTTGGCACCGCCCTTAGGGGTTTAAGCGCGTTGACGTTGAAAGAGGCGGCTGAAGGACCAACCATAAAGCATCAGTAGCACCTCCTCCCACTCCTCGTGCCGGGTCATAACACTGTGGTCATGGTGGGCTTGAAGCTCCAACGAGCCCTTTCATGCCCCCCTCCGCACAGACTTCAGGCCCCGGAACTGTGGACCCCGCCGGCTTATCAGAGCTGCGCACGGTGAGACCCACGTCCTGCGGGGTTGGGCGACAGCCGGTGGAGTGGTCTCATGAGGCGTTCCTATGAAACATGCGTGGTCTCATGACTGCAATACTGCACGCTTGAGCTGGCAAAAGTTGTTCTACAACAAAGTCTTGGGAGTTTTAGATGCAAATCTCACAACTTAACTGAAAAAAA